AGCCCCGGGGCCCAAAGACCTTGCTTCCTGGTAGCTCGGGTGCTCTTCTCTCAATCTCCCTTCAAAGCCACCTCCTGCCAGCCTCTCAGTAGGCACCAAGGTCTCCCATGGTCCTGGGTTGCAAGCTCTGGCTATTCCTGAGTTTCTTTGTCCTAGGAAGCCAGTCTCCATATCACTCATTTTAGGCTGGTTACGAGACCCTCACGTTGTGGGACTGGATTTGCATAGGAGAGTCTGTAAATGGGAAAGGGGGATTACGAATGCCCGGGAAACTGACAACTACGTAAGGTCTTCCAGCACTTGCAGTCTTGTCGAGGTCAGCTGTGCGTGACATGTATGGCATTCGCAGTAATTAAACGCTGAGATCTTTAGCCACAAAGATGAGTGAGGCACAAAGGAGCAGCACACATGTGTGTACACAGGACGGTTTTGGGAGCAGTCTTCTAGAGGAAGACATTGCTGCACTGAGTCCCCATAGAAGGACAATACTGGCCATCTGCCCCAAATCAGCTCTGAGTTTGAGGTCCCTGTGTGGAAGCAGAAGGGCAGGGTCCCCTCCTAATTCCTAACCCCCCATTGCGTTTCAATTGGAAACATTAGGAACATGTGCTTGATAAAAAACAAAAAAAAACCAACTTTCATTTTTTATATGATTAAAAAAAACTTTTAAATACCAAAAACCATACTGCAAACATGTGAAGTTGCTACTCTAGGCAACCATCTTGATCTTCCACGACATCCCAGTCTGAATCAGTTAGTTTCTCCAGGGGAAACGGCTATTGATGGACCACTTCTCCATACAGCCTGTGTATGCTCCCCTGAAGCTGGCTGGGTGTAGAGAGAGGGCTGGAAAGAAGGAGATGTTGCACAGAATTGAGCAGAGGAGCCAGGTTTGGAGCAGGGACAGGGTAATTCTGAGCATCACAACCCTCAAAAAAGGCTTTATTTATCCCAAATATAACAACTGAAGTTATACTTTTAAAACTACTTCCACTCCAATTATAAAATTCTATTCAAATTCACTGATGATTTAATGACACTAATTAGATTGTGTGTTCAAGAAATCTGTCTGACAAACACCACCGCCAAATGTCGTTAACAATATGATGGCATGAAGGGAGTTTAAACCATCAAAACAAAAGCCTGCTAATGTAATGATACAATTATGTAGTTTAAAGGCTTTTATGATCTTGATTTTAATTAAAAAAAAAAAAAAAAGATTAAACCATGAAAAAGTGTAGCCTTGAACTTCTTTCTGCGATTCTGAGACCCTGTCCCAGAGGCCAACTCTGCAGTTAGGCTCCTAGGTCCTGGGCATCTTTCCCAGGTTTAGCACTGGAGGGAGGATGATGTGTTTTCTCCCAGAGACCCACCTGAGCTGACACCAAGCCTAAGTGCTGAGCAAGGACTAGGTGCAGTCCTTTCCAATTCCAGAGCAGCGTGAGCCTGCAGGCCAGGCTCAGGTACCTAACTCAGGGTCTTCCTTACGTTTCTTGCTATTACCTCCCAAAAGCTCCTCCCAGGGTACACTCATTTCTGAGTCTCTTTGTTTGAGCCATGGGAACATCAACTGATAGGGAACAAGAACATGAAGTTAATCTTCTTTACTCCTTACATGAGCTGCCTGCCCCACATCCAGCCCCATTTCTGGTCATGCTGTTGCAAGGCTCCTGGGTATGAACAACTGAGGACAGGAACATTCAAGGGCAGGGATACCACAGGTAAAATATGACTTAGCAGGGCCCCCGAGATCTGTCTTCAGCCAAGCTCCACGATGGGCCTGGAGAAAAGCCAAAGCTGGCTCTGGAGTAGCCAGGACAGGTGGGGTGTATCCAGGTGTATGTTCCTGGAAGACCAGGGCCAGGACAGGTGGGGTGTATCCAGATGTTTGTACCTGGAAGGCCAGGGCCAGGACAGGTGGGGTGTATCCAGATGTTTGTACCTGGAAGGCCAGGGCCAGGACAGGTGGGGTGTATCCAGGTGTGTGTTCCTGGAAGGCCAGAGCCAGGACAGGTGGGGTGCATCCAGGTGTGTGTACCTGGAAGGCCAGGGCCAGGACAGGTGGGGTGTATCCAGGTGTGTGTTCCTGGAAGGCCAGGGCCAGGACAGGTGGGGTGCATCCAGGTGTGTGTTCCTGGAAGACCAGGGCCAGGACAGGTGGGGTGCATCCAGGTGAGTGTTCCTGGAAGACCAGGGCCAGGACAGGTGGGGTGCATCCAGGTGAGTGTTCCTGGAAGACCAGGGCCAGGACAGGTGGGGTGCATCCAGGTGAGTGTTCCTGGAAGACCAGGGCCAGGACAGGTGGGGTGCATCCAGGTGAGTGTTCCTGGAAGACCAGGGCCAGGACAGGTGGGGTGCATCCAGGTGTGTGTTCCTGGAAGGCCAGGGCCAGGACAGGTGGGGTGCATCCAGGTGAGTGTTCCTGGAAGGCCAGGGCCAGGACAGGTGGGGTGCATCCAGGTGAGTGTTCCTGGAAGACCAGGGCCAGGACAGGTGGGGTGCATCCAGGTGTGTGTTCCTGGAAGACCAGGGCCAGGACAGGTGGGGTGCATCCAGGTGTGTGTTCCTGGAAGGCCAGGGCCAGGACAGGTGGGGTGCATCCAGGTGTGTGTTCCTGGAAGACCAGGGCCAGGACAGGTGGGGGTGCATCCAGATGTTTGTACCTGGAAGGCCGGGGTCCATCGCCCTGACTCTGTACCTCTGTCTCATGCAGCAGGGTTCACTTCACTGCTCACTCTGGAGTTGGAGAGGGCTTCTGGCCCAGTCCTCACCAGAGTCAGCCTATGCATAACCCTGAGCAATGGCCCCGTCAGTGTATAGCACCAGCCTTTGAAGACACACCAGAACTAAAACCCTGGCTACAGAACCAGCCCCTGGGACAGGGTCTCCAAAGTAAGGAGTATGAGGTTATAGGACAGATGGCCTAAGGCCCAGCTGGAGATGCAGAGCAGGGATCAGATCTAGAAGGACAAGGATACACAAGACCATGAACTACTGGGTGGTTCTTGTTCCCATTTCTAAGATGAAACAATGAGAAAGGCCCATGTGACAGCAAAGAACAAAACTGCTGCTGAGGAGCTGGGCCACACAGCTCCACGGGGCTGGCCATGCACAGAATATGGAAAAACTAAGGCTCTGTTTCTGGATGGCTTTTAGGGATCTTGGGCACATTTAGCTATGGTCAAACAGCAAATATGGCAAGCCTGCATTTGGTCCACTGCAGACAGCTGGCACATCAGGGTCACCAGGCAGGCATCACCTGGGGTGACTTCTAAGGACTGCTTTCCAGCTGGCACACACCCTCTGCCTGAAGCCAGCCTGAAACAGCCTGCTCCCAGTCCTGGAAACCAGGGGCCATGGGAAGCACTCACAGTAGTGAAATGAGCAGCTGTCAGCAAGGTCAGGCAATGCTCTATGACCCAGGCCTGAAGGATCAGCAGTATGAAGGGCTGGTACAGTAGCACCTTCCACTGGCCCATCTCGAACCCAAGAGCACAGAACAGCATCAACAGCCCCATAACCCAGGATAGGAACAAACCAACAATCAAAACACCAAAGACCCAGGCCTCCAGATGGCTCTCAAAGTCCAGGGTAAAACTTCCCAAGCCCCTTTCTTTCAAGGCTGAGGCACGTTGGGACAAAGCTCTCACCACACACATGGCTAGAGCTGCCACTGGGCCTGCTCACTGGGGCAGGCAGGGCTCTATGATGTGCCAAACTCATGAACACCTCTGGAGAGCCTCCTCAGTAATCTACACCTTGGCCAGGACCCACCCATGGCTTATGAGGCCAGCCTGTGATAGCAGCACTGAAGGGGTGGTCAGAACCAGCCCAGCCCATCCGGTCCTGCTCTCTTAGACGGCACGCTGGCTCTGGGAAGGCTGCTGCTGTGCTGTGCACAGCCCCTTGATGACAGGGCTCCCATACATCCTCCAGTTCTGGCCTGATGAGGCCTCAGATGAGACCACCCTGACCAACCCTGAATGCAATCACATGGGAGACTCAAGGCAGGACCACCAGCAGCTGCTCCTGAACTCCTGATCTATAGAAGAGACTGCTGCTGCTGAAGCTGTGACATGTGGGGTGATTTTGTTACACAGCTGAGTGACTTATATAACTGATATGTGAGGCTTTTTGCTTTAATGTGGACACTGCAAAATTTAAATTCTACTGGACAGTGGGGCTCAATATGGTTCTCAGTACAGCAAGGTACATCAAGATCACAGACGTCCCTGGCCTGCCAACTCACAACATAATTTTCCTATGTGTCACTAATTCATATTTCTTTCCAACTGAATTTTAAAACCCGGCATCAGATTAAATAGCTGTAGAGAATATACACCAAATAGGTAATTGTGAGCCGATTTTTCTTACTTTGAAATTAAAAGAAAATATTAATTTTTTGCCATTTATAAGACGATAGTGAGAAGATCTAAGAAGACATCAAAACATTGTGAGTGCTGAGTCTACAACTAATTGCTGCTGGGCCCGAATGTCTTCTTGCTGGCCATCTTTCTCCATAGCACTCTATTTTGGAAGGACTCTTCTACACCATGACATCCTGCATCCTCTGCAAGGTTCATAAACCCTCAGTCATTTGCAGCAGTCTCAGTGAGGGCCACTGGGTCCTCTGTGAGGACTCTCTGTAAGTCTGTAAGACTGGGGCAGAAGAAATCACATGCCACCCAGAGGGTACCTGGTCCACAGGTCTTAGCACTCCATAGGTGATCTCGACCGTGGGTTTAGATGAAGCAAGTGTCACCCAGAAGGTACCTGGTCCACGGGTCTCAGCACTAGATGGGTGACATCCATCCTGGGCACAGAGAAGAGTAGTTGTCACCTAGTCCACACATCTCAGCACTAAATGAGTACATCAACCATAAGGCAGAAGGAGCAGGTGTCACCCAGAGGGCACTTGGTTCCCAGGTCTCAGCACTCTATGGGTGACAGGCCCCAGGTAGAAGGCACAGGCATGACCCGGAGCCCATGGCTGTGCTCACCTTAATGTGCTCATGTAGCTGCGCCTCATGCTGTCGGGACAGCTGCTCGTGCTGCCGTTGGAACTCGGCGATGAGGATCTGCCGCTGGATCTGCTGCTTCTGTTTCAGTGCCAGGAGCTCCTGCTGCAGCTGCTGCTCTCGCAGTGCAGGTTCCAAGGGCAGCGAGAACTGGTGGTCTAGGCGCAGGTCCATGGGCACTGCTGCAGGGGCCACTTGCAGAGGCAGTGCCGCTGCCACGTCCACTGTGGAGAGAACACAACACAAGAAAGCAGGTCACTGTAAGCAAAACTGGCCCCCCAGTCTTGGTTTCTTCTCCCCCACCAAAGCCTAGCTGACAACTGTCACGAGGTGCTGGTGGCCTGAAGGGCACTGGATGTCCTTTGGTCCATGGCTCAAAAGCAGGGGCAGGTCTGGCCAGGAGACACACTCCCACCAAGTGTGTGTCACCCCCTCCAACTCCCAGCTGAAGTGGGAGGCCCCACTCTCAAAGGACCCCACTGCAGGCCCAAAGTCCTGCCTGACGTCATATTGAAAAGTCAATAAAGGGAAAACTAGAGAAAAAGGCTCTGCTTAGCCAAGGAAGGCACCGAGTACCAGCACTTGGATGGGCAAACCGCCTGTTCTTTTCTTCTGCCCCTTTTCTTAACGAAGCCACTGCAGAGTTGTGTGTGAGCCCCAAGAACAGTGTGTGCCATAGAAGTGGTCCAGATAGATGCTCGAGTGGAGAGCCTGTTGCCATGGTAAACCGAGTGCCCGAGTGACTGCAGCCAATAAAGTGCACTCCTGGCAGGCGTCAGAGCCGCTTCTATACTCACACTGTGCCGATTCCAAATCAAAGTGAGAGAAACAATGTGGAGAAAAGGTTACATTTTAAATTACCAACATGAAGCTGGTGAGGTGGCTCTGCAGGTAAAGGCATATGCCACCAAGCCTGAAGACCTGAGTTCAATCCCCAGGACCCACACGATGGAAGGAGAGAACTCTCAGAAGTTACCTTCTGACCTTTATATGTGCACTGTGCCATGCATGCATCCATGCACATACATACATGTGCATGCAAAAAAATAAACGAAAAATGTGCTAATTTTTAAAAAAATTACCACATGATGAAGAAGCCTCACGTGTGCTCCTGCAACAGGCTGTGCTCCGAGCAGTGTGTTACACATGGGCTCACTGGAACTAGAAAGGGCCAAGCACATCTCTGCAGAGACACTGGGTAGTCTTGGACCAAGACCCAGCCATTACTGTCCTGGGAAAACTGTACTACACAGTCTCAAGCCCAGACTGGAGTAAGAGAGCCGGCAGGCCACTGAAGCAGGTTATTGCCCTCAGTCCCTAACATTTCTGTCTCATCGCCATACAGCACATCCCAAGCTGGCCTTAGTTGCTAACTGCTGGAGCCCTGGTCTCAGGACTCTGCCTTGTGCTTCTGGGTAAGAATGGGAAAAAAAATAAAAATAAAAAGACGGCGCTGCTTGTCCGCGTTTGCCTCAGTCCGTGTTATAAGAGACGGCGCTGCTTGTCCGCGTTTGCCTCAGTCCGTCTTATAAGAGACGGCGCTGCTTGTCCGCGTTTGCCTCAGTCCGTCTTATAAGAGACGGCGCTGCTTGTCCGCGTTTGCCTCAGTCCGTGTTATGAGACGGCGCTGCATGTCCGCGTTTGCCTCAGTCCGTGTTATAAGAGACGGCGCTGCTTGTCCGCGTTTGCCTCAGTCCGTCTTATAAGAGACGGCGCTGCTTGTCCGCGTTTGCCTCAGTCCGTCTTATAAGGAATAAAACACTATGGGGGACAAGCAGGAAGACTGAGCAAACTGAGGAAAGAAAAAGGTGACGACTTCCTGCCGGGGCCTCAACACACACACGTCTTTTGGACAGTTTCACGTACTATGTTCTCCCTGTGAAAACACTTGTCCTCTTTTCTGCATTCACTAGCATGATCTGAAAGGGTTCTCCTGTAACATGCTAATCTGCTTGGTTACTCAGAGACTGCCTCAACTTATTTAGTCTGCCTGTGTTGTCTTGGGATGACTTGCCTTTTTTTCTAAGTTATACACACATATGGTCCCTGATGGATTTAGTTTGTGGCTACTATATTTAGAATGTTTGAGCCTATTAGTAATGAGATGCCTATGATTGATCGATTGATCAATCGATCAATCAATCACATTCTTTGTGTCAGTTAAGCAATGATATTTTAGCTTACATAAAAATGTGTGAAGAGGGGCTGGAAAGATGGCTCATGGTTAAGAGTATGTGCTGTTCTCACAGAGGACCCACACCAAGTGGTTCACAACCATGTGTAACTCCAGGGGATCTGATGCCTCTAGTCTCCACAAGCACGTGCACTCACATGCACATACCTACATGCATATACATACATATTCATGTAATTAAAAATAAAAACTCTTTAAAAAATGCATGAAGAATTGATGAAGCACAACCACAGTGTCTCACAGCTTCTATGCCATCATTTCTCGTGTATCACTTAGCCACAGGGGAGGGGCCAGGTTGTGGCTCCAGCTATGATTTTGCTCAAAGGATCCACGGTCTACATATTGACAAGGATGTACCAAAGGTGCTGGGGACAGATGATCCTAGTATCATGTCAGGTGGCTCACAACTGTAACTGCAGCTCCAGAGGAGCCACCACTTTCTTCAGCCTCCTTGGGCACCTGAACACACTGCACACCCACATACATTCACCTAAATTAAAATAAATACTTTAAAAAAAGAAAAAAAACTTTTGAAAACAGAGATAGCCTGTGCTGGATAACTTTAGTGTCAACTTGACACACTTGGGGAGGAAAGGGTTTATTTGTCTTACATCTCCCAGGTCACAGTTCATCGGGGAACTTAGAGATGTAAGACAAATAAACTCTTTCCTCCCCAAGTTGGCAGTGGTCAGAGTATTTTGTCACAGCAATGAAGAAACAAACTAAGACACAGCCCCATCCCTGTCCAGGGTGTATGGGGACAGTCTCTAAGGAGCCAGGTGAGCACGGGCTGATGGAAGCGCTGTGGAATGATCCATAGGCCTCTCTGAGGCATATCTAGGCGAGATGGAAGGGCTTGGGGGGTGGGGGTAGAAGGTCATGGGAACAGGGTAACAGAGGAGGTATTCAGATACCCCATCAAAGAACAGGCTGCAGGCTCGGGGACTGGTAGGGGCAGGATGCACAGGGAACAACTAAGGGTGAGGTACGCAGCTCTAGGTGGTGGGAAGACTGGGCTATTCGGCAGCCCTCCTCAGTCACAGGGCATAGTGGCAGTCAGCTATACATTCCTACCACGTGCCAAATTTGGTGATTTCTATATAGAACTTTTCTCATTCTGAAGCTGGAATCGCAGAGCCCCTTACAAGGAAACATATCTGCACTTAGTCCAGAGCAGTTTGAGCAGGCACTAATGACATGATACAAATAACTGAAGTGTACTCTTCAGCCAGAGGCCAACTAGACAGCTCTGAACACTCTTCCCACTGTAAGCCAGGCCCTATGGCTCCCAGCTAGACTGGCCAAGTCTGGGCAGTGCCCCACCTAGGAACGTGGAGGTATATATACAAGGGCCACAAGGCTGAAGAACCAGTAGACTGGATGTGGGCAGTTGTACTACAAAGACAGTTAGGAAGGGAGCATTCCAAAGGAGCCTGGTTGCTGTTCACGGATTGCTTTTTACTGGACACTGACTTCTTTAGACAGAATGGACAGACTTTATTGCCATTTTAAATTTTCTTGCTTTTGAAAGTTTTTATCTAGTCATTCAGTCTACTAATGTTTTAGTTGTAAGGAACTAATTTTTGGTTAGATTTCTTTCCTTTTTTTGAGACAGGGTCTCCCTGCCTGGAACTCAATATGTGGATCAGGCTGGCCTTGATCTTATAGAGATCTACCTGCCTCAGCCTCTGCCTCCTGAGTGCTGGGATTAAAGGTGTGTGCCACCATGCTTGGCAGGCACAATTTTTTAAAGCTGAATTTGAAGCTGTTTGGATATTTTCAAGGTCCCCTAAATTGACTAAACGTTCTCTTAAAGGGAATTTGTAAGCTAGGCTGAACGGGTAACTGGATTTTTTTAAAAAAGTACAAGTGCATCCCACCCATGATGAGCAAGCACAGGCTGCCAGGTTCTCCTTTTAGACCATGCTTGCCACCTGCACAAGTGAACAGGTGAACTTCCTGCTCAACTGCTACCCACCCCAAGGTCACAGTTTTTGCCTAAGCCTTCTGTTCCATTTCCCTCTCCATGAAATACATGGGGGCCAGTCCCAACTCCCTAATCTCTCAGGCTAATCGTTGGGGAGAAAAAAGAGGCGAGCTCAAGGCTAGTTCCAAGTCTGCCTGCTCTGGGCTCTGGGTGTCTCAGGTACCTACCTATACTGAAGGGTTCAGGAGAGACAGCATCACTCCATAGCCCTTGCTCCTCCCTTCTGAGAACACTGGGAACAAGCAAGTCTAAACTGGAAACCTGCTGAGATGCCTGGAGCCCACTGGGACACAGCAGGCTACAGGGGCCCTTCCCTGAGCCTACACTGGGCCTGGGCCAAGAGCAGAGGGTGCTGCTGGGGGCCAACACTGGACTTCAAGCCTGAGGAAGCAGTCCCTCCATTCTGCCAAGTGCTGGACAGAGACAGGACAGTCTTGATCTGCAACCTGTGGCCCACACAGAGCTTCGTGCTTAAGAAGTTCAAAGGAGAGCAGATCAAAAGCCCTTTGTTACTCACATTTTATACCCCTAACCTGCCACTACTGCCGCTTCCCCTCCATCAAGTAATGCCACCTTGGCAGACACAAAATGAGGCTTGAAATCCACACAGGCAAGGAGACCTGGGCCTGCCCGGCTCCACGGCCAATGCTGGGAGGTCAGGAGGCAGGGCTGTGGCCATGCCCAAACGCCAGCTGCAGAGATGGAAACCATAGTCCCAATTCACTCACAAGAGCTACGTCAAGCATGACCTGTGCTATTTCTGTATCAAAACCACTGGAAATGCCACAAGTTTCCAACAGAATCTGCTGGTGCTTTTTGACCCAGGGCACCCTGAGAAGAAAACGGAATCTTCTCTACTTAAGGAATGCAGCATCAAAACAAAAACGCCTGTATTCTCATGAATATTCGATGGAGGAGTTGAAAACTGCTTTATAGGTTATGCCCTGAGAAACATATTAACACAATTAGGCTTATGACGTCAGTGAGGACACAAAGCCCACATTCAGTGCTCCAAGGAGAAAGGCAGGTCTGCTGGGAGAGAG